CTTACCGTCGTTGTCGTCAGTAACGCGTACGAGCTCACGACGCTCTGTTTAAAAGAGGTGTAGGATTTTATTTTTACAACCTACTTTATCTGCTTGTTGAGTTAAATGCAAATACCTAACCGCTATTTTTAATCGTTAATTTAATTAAAATACATGGGTGCTTGACCGGTTCCATTTTTTATACTTCAAGTGCAATGATTCCAAATTCTACGGCTATATTGGTCTGGGGTGACTTACCAACTCTGCATTTTTGACTCATTGTTGCGCGTTCTCAATGCGAATTCTTTAGCCGTATCTGGCATACAAAAGTTGAACTGCATAACTGAATATATAGTACCCTCATTCCAATGGAATTGGAGCACCTGAGGACGGCCAATCAAAAGATTCTTCGTGCTGGCATCATATGCCGTCTTTTGCCTTACGAAATATGTACTCTTTACTGTAATCTAAGTATTACTTTGCAAATGTTTATGACGAATTGTTAGTCCTATCTTCATTCTAAAATCATGCTGAAAGAATGGTTGTACTTTTAAAAATGTTCTGCTAAACATTTAGAAAAGTACAAATAATGTTTATAAGTTTTGATGCGGTACCTGTTTGCATGGTGCTATTATATTAGAAAAATTTCTTAAGCACCACAAAAATGTTGGTGCAAACAGTTGGCACTCTTGTATGTAAATACTACAGCACACATCTTTTCAATGGAATTGGTCTCTTGGTCTAGTTGGTCACCCCATCGTAAACATGTCAAACTTCCAGAATTGCTTTGTTAGTAACTCCAAGTCTGTAATTCTGAATACTACCAACATGCGGTAAAACGTTTTGTCGTCATTAACACGACCTGCTTTTGTGACAGGTGTATCAGATACTACTTAATATGACTATCCTGATGCTTATTGAGAGCGCATGCAGGTAGGATGGGAGAATTGTGCTAGGGATACTGAACTGACTGATCTAATTTTTCCACAACGTTATTTTGGAGCGCAGTCGTCACGCACTGAGCCTGTTGCCTTCCCAAAACTTAAGTAAATCTGCAGATAACTGCAGGAGCCGTGTCTGGCGAAAGCACCTTTTAACACACGAAGGGTGTGTGGAGCAATTCCCACTAGTGAATGGGGATTGCGTAGTGCCTGGACCTGGCTACTAATAATAATGCTTGCAGGCAGGCCCGTATGGAAGTTTTTAGTGGGACTGCTTTTGGCAGTTCAAAATGCCTGCACGCCAGTGGAGGTCAATTCTTCAAACACACTGAGCTCCATGGAGGGTAACTAGTTTTGTAATTCAGATTTAGTCTCGTTAAGACCTTAATTCTCTCTCGTGGCACCTTCGTCACCCTCTCTAGTCTCCTAATGTTTTATTTCTACTCAGCATGGATAATTGTCGGAACAAAGTTGCGGACGATGTATGATAGACGAATAAAACATTCAGCGAGAGAGAGACCAAATGCACAGCCGAGATTTCAGAGAAGGTTCGGCCGAAATCTCAGCACAAAACTTCCAGCTGTGAACATGTGCCACAAGTTCCTTAGCATATGCTGTACAGTGCGCTACTCACATTTTTGAAGATCAGCCGGCCTGCTCATATGAGTACGCAAGATGAGTTGAACATTTGACTCAGAAAGCACCAGATAACGTATTCCAGGTCACCCATAAGCATCAGATTCCTTGAGAAGCACGTAGAACCAAGACCACTAACATCTGAGTCTCAAATATCTTAAAAGAACCAACAAAAAAAGAAAGGAAAACTACAGGGAGGATATACAGCACTGTCACAGCCAATGTTCATTCAGAAATACTTCTCTCACGCGGCATTATAAATGCCTTTCTCCACCTGGTCACAAATCTTACGCAATCGGACGTTAAAGAATTCAAAGTTGAAAGGCTGATTCGGTGAGTAGAATGGATTCTTTAGTACGTAGTCAGTGTAGGCCTCATACACCAGTTTCAACGCGCCACGAGCTGCACTGGGAATGCGAGCATCAGTGATGAGAAGAAATTTTGTACCAGTGATGGATTCGTAGCAGTGTATGCGGGCTTCCGGAGTTTCAATAGTCTGGATACCGGACGGCTCAGTAACAATACTCGACTTGGAATTCATCGCATCCACATTGACTGGGGAAGGAGTCAGAACACGAGCCATGTGATGAATAGCCTGGAACATACTAGCCACTGTAATCCGGTCATTGAGCCGCATCCGAGGTGTGCCGAGACGAATAGTGATTGGAAAATTAGATGGATTACCAAATAACTAAAGAAAGTACATAGCACATCTAAATCAAGACTAACTTCTAGGATGTCTCGACCATCTTCTAGTATAGTGCCGTTTGCGTTGACTCCATTAACAGCGAGGACACAGTAACCTAGTTTAATTTCATTGGTTGCACCAAATACAACAGCAAGTCGGCCATCCACATTCTCGAAAACAAATGATAATGGGAAAGAGAACGTTCGTTCCAGTTCTACAGTAGGTAGCGTTCGATCGTAGTACATCTGAAGAGAACCAGATTCGCTAATCACATAGACCGAGTAGACACTCATCGCAACAGGACAATTTCTATAATCCACACACACAACCTTGAATTCTCGCATTAAGGACCAGAGATTAAAATAGATACAGCATAATTGCTATATCATGATCATTCAAAGATGTGATTGATGTACCTCATCTTATCATGGATTAAATTCCGCAGCCACGAGATTTTTCCGTTCCCTTTGCTTTTATATGTTAGTTTAAATATAAATATAGACAGTATTTTGAATGTTATCGTGCCAAACACATTTTCATATAACGTCGCCTTTGAATATCTGAAGATTCAAAACTCGAACTAATATGCGATCGTTGCTTTTGTACCTTGATTCCTTTTCTTAGGCATCGTTTATGTATTTAGAAGCAAAACTATCAAGCCTTCATCATTCGGGAAAATCCTTGAATGCTTTTTTGCATTTATCCGCACCAAAGCAATTTAATAATTTGATGTTGTTTCGTTTCGCTTCTTTGTACCTAACGCCCTTGTAGATTCGTACAAAACGGTCGCGTCCGTTGACTTTTCGTCGTCGTTATGTTAGATACTTTTGCAAATGTTCACTTTAAGGTATAACTCGTTTTGAAGTTAATTTTATGTGTATTTGGAGATATTTTTTTTAGCAGCAGAGGTTCCTGCAATATAAACGTTTTTTAGAAGGTCATCACGCGTAAATTGATTTGTCATAAAGATAGAAATCGTTAATGCATTACTTTAAAGCTCACGCTCGCAGTTTTTGTCCTTTCGCGTTAACC